CGTAGAACCTTTCTTTTTAAAGATAGCTGCAGATTGTATTGCTCCACCTCTCACTACTCTTTTTAACCTCTCCCTCAGCACAAACACAATTCCAAAATTGTGGAAGTCAGCGTATGTGCTGCCTTTGCTGAAAGGAGGGGAGGCAACTGTTTTAAATAATTATAGGCCCATCTCTAAATTATCAGTTCTGGCTAAGGTTCTTGAACGCCTAGTGAGTGAACAGGTAAAGGTGTTTTTATGTACAAATGACATCCTGTCTAAACATCAGTCAGGCTTCAGAAAGCAACATAGCACCATCACTGCCACAATGAAAGTGGTGAATGATGTGGCGAGTATTTTAGATAATAAGCAGAGCTGTGCAGCTCTATTTATTGACCTTTCCAAAGCGTTTGATACCGTCGATCATCGCATCTTAAAGCAGAGGCTACTCAGTATTGGCATATCCAGCCATGCAGTGGGGTGGTTTGTGAACTACCTCTCTGAAAGGTCCCAATGTGTTCATTTTGATGGGCTGTCTTCTGAGTGGTTAAACATTACTAATGGTGTTCCTCAAGGTTCGGTTTTAGGTCCACTTTTATTCTCCATCTACATCAATAGTTTAGGTGAAAATGTCGATGGAGCAACCTTACATTTTTATGCGGACGATACCGTTATGTACTGTGCAGGTCCCTCCATTAAGGAGGCGGTTGTTGAATTGCAAACTGCTTTTAACATTATTCAGACTCAGCTCTCTGAACTAAAGCTTCTTTTAAATGTTGATAAAACCAAGGTAATGCTCTTTTCAAAAGCCAAAAAGACACCAGAGCCTGTTTTAGATATTTTAACTACGCAAGGAATAAAACTTGAAGTGGTTGCCTGTTACAAATACCTTGGTATCTGGCTTGATGATTGTCTCACTTTTAAACTTCATGTCAATAACCTGCTTAAAAAACTGAGGGTTAGGCTACGTTTCTTTTCCAGGAACAAGTCCTGTTTCTCGCTCGAGGCCAGAAAAAGGCTAGTCACTGTGACCTTTTTACCTGTGCTGGACTATGGTGATCTGATCTATATGAATGCACCTGCCAATTGCCTGGTCAAGTTAGATGCCGCCTATCACAGTGCACTGAGATTTGTGACAAACTGTAAAGCATTAACCCATCACTGTACCCTGTATGCAAGGGCAGGTTTGCCTTCACTAACTGTACGGAGGCTCAGTCACTGGTACATTTTTATATATAAAGCCATGTTAGGGAAACTTCCATCCTACATCTGCTCCCTGATCTCACGGCGAATTGTAAGTGGCTACTGCCTGAGATCGCATGCTGTGGTTTTATTAAATGTGCCAACTGCTAGGACTGTCTTAGGGAAGATAGCATTTAGATGAGCAGCTCCTCTGTCCTGGAATAGTCTGCAATTAAAATGGAAACTGAGCAATCTGGTGCCACTAAATGTTTTTAAAGCTCGGTTGGATTCTACTGAATCGGAAGCTGTTGGTACCTGTGCATGTGGATAGCATGTAATTTGTAATCCCTGTAATGCTACTGTATGATGTCCTTTTGTTGTTCTGTATATGTTTTTAATGTTTCATGTGGAACCTACTTGAGCAGGTCTCCCTTGAAAAAGAGGTCAATGATCTCAATGGGATACAACCTGAATAAATAAAGGTTTGAAATGAAATGAAATGATATGTAAACAGAACAAATCGTGCAGCACATGGATGTGAATGGGTTTAAAGTAAGTATGGAAGCTTGAAAACAGGCACGGTTTAAGGTTCCTGAACGCCTCGTTGAGGATGCCTTCACAGCCTGGCACACAGTGTGAGTTTTTTAAGCTTTGGCAGCTTTCACCTCACTGAAGGACTCCAGAATCCACCAACCAGGGGTCATTCTCTACGAGATATGATATAAAAGATCTTTTAATTGTGAAATCCACAGTCCTGAGAGTGTGTGTTTGTGTTTCAGCTGCTGAGCAAATCCCTCTCTGTTGCCGCTGTGTCTCCAGAGGAGCAGCGGGATGATTTCCCTCCGGCTCGCTGGCTCTCAGTCATCCAAACAGAGAAGTCATTTCCTGAGGGGCTGAGATAAACCTCCGACCTGCCACTCTGTTTTGTTTTGGGCCAGAGCTGAAACACAAGAGGATCCGCTCACCACAAAGCCTCAGCGATGGTGTTTCTCTCTATTTAACCCGGACACGTTGCATCCCATCTGTCTCTGTTTATGTTGCCCATTTAAACTCCATGCATCACTGCTGATTTCATACAAGTGATTCTACCCCACAATCAGTACTGCCCGGCAAACAAAATACCACATAAACTAGAGTGAGAATAATCACTACATCTACTGTTATTATGTGTTTTATTGGGGGATTTGTCTGGGCATATAATATGTTATGAAAGCCAATTTGACATTTATCTGTTATGCTGGGACACAAAAATTCCCTTCTGATCACAAAACAGGCTTATCTGATCTCAAAGGAAGATAAGAAATGATGAATCAACCTCTGATTGATTGACCACTCACTTCTTTCATTCACAAGACATAATGTGATCATAAACAGAGCCTTGCTTTAATCATGCTGTCAATCCCAAATAAACAAACTAAATTATCGTATCATCTTGTTAATAAACGCTGTTAATTTGAGGAGAAGCTTCTTGGATTATTTCCAGCTACTCCTACCTCAAATGATAGAAACGCATCCATCCATCCATCCATCTTCTCCCGCTTATCCGTGGTCAGGTCGCGGAGGTATCAGTTCCAGCAGAGAGCCCCAAACGTTCCTTTCCCCTCATCAACCAGCTCTGGCTGGGGGGTCCCAAGGCGCTCCCAGGCCAGCCAAGAGATATAATCCCTCCACCTGGTCCTAGGTCTACCCCTTTGTCTCTTCCCAGCTGGACGTGCCTGGAACACCTCCCTAGAGAGGCGCCCAGGTGGCATCCTTACTAGGTGCCCGAACTTCCTCAACTGGCTCCTTTTGACGCGAAGGAGGAGCGGTTCAACTCCGAGTCCCTCCCGGATGACTGGACTGCTCACCTTATCCCTAAGGGAGATGCCAGCCACCCTGCGGAGAAAACCCATCTCGGCCGCTTGTATCCGCAATCTCGTTATTTTGGTCATGACCCATCCTTCATGACCATAGGTGAGGGTAGGATCGAAAATGGCTCGGTAGACAGAGAGCTTTGCCTTCTGGCTCAACTTTCTTTTCGTCACAACGGTGCGGTAAAGCTACTGCAGTACCGCTCGATGGTGATCAGTTAACAACCCCACCCCTCTCTTTGCCCGAGTGTCCAAAACATACGGCCTCAGGTCCGATGATACGACAATAAAATCGATCATGGACCTTCTGCCTAGGGTGCTCTGGTACCACGTACACTTATGAGCATCCTTATGTTCGAACATGGTGTTTGTTATGGCCAATCCATGACTAGCACAGAAGTCCAGTAACAAACCACCACTCCGGTTCAGATCAGGGGGGGTGTTCCTCCCAATCACGCCCCTCCAAGTGTCTCCATCATTGCCCACATGTGCGTTGAAGTCTCCCAGCAAGACTAAGGAGTCCCCTTCAGGAGCCCCATACAGGACTCTTTCCAGGGTCTCCAAGAAGGCTGTATACTCTGAACTGCTGTTTGGTGCATAAGCACACACAACAGTCAGAGTTTTCCCCCCCCATAGCCCGCATGGCCCTCTCGTCCACTGGGGTAAACTCCAACAAAGAGGCACCCAAGCGGGGGCTTGTGAGTATCCCCACACCCGCCCGGCGCCTCACACCTTGGAAACTCCGGAGAAGAATAGAGTCCAAGCCCTATCCAGAAGTAAGGTTCCAGAGCCGACACTGTGCGTAGAGGTGAGCCTAACCAGATCCAACTGGTAACGCTCCACCTCCCGCATAAGCTCCAGCTCCTTCCCCCCCAGAGAGGTGACGTTCCACGTCCCCAAAGCCAGTTTCTGTCGCCCGGGTCTGGTCTGTCAAGACCCTCTGCTTTCACTGCCACCCTTCTGGCAGCGCACCCAACCCCATCGCTTTTTCCACGCTCGCCGACGAGTTCTCCTTCTGGGCCTGGCTCCAGAAGGGGACCCCGGGCATCCTCTGGGCCGGGTCTCCTCACTTCTTGTGTCGTCTTTCATGAGGTCTTTGAACCAATCTTAGTCTGGCCCCTTGTCTGAGACCAATTTGCCATGGGAGACCCTACCAGTCAACACAGCCCCCAGGTTCATCAGGGCACACAAACCTCTCGACCACTGTAAGGTGCTGGTTCTTCAGAGATAGAAACGCAACACTAGTAAAAGGGATTGTTAATGCAGTGAAGATATCCCACATAATCCCTGTAAACGCTGAACTGTACACAACAAATCCAGGCTAAATTTGCAGGAGAGCTAGTTCATGTTAGCTGTTAGCATAGCACGGTTCTGCTTGGATAATTAATGAAGCTAACAGCTAACGTCACCTAGTGCTTATTTATTGCAAGTAAGGAAGTTATTGTACATGAGTTTTGGTCTTAATATGCTGTGCTCAATATGGGTCGAATAAGGCAGTAGTACCAAAAGAATAGTGATTCTCCCATAATAACACTTAACAAATATGATATGATGATGATGTAACAAGACATGAAACTATAGGTGTTGATTGTGTCTAAATAACTCAAAATGAGGTATTTCTATACATGGACACCCGTCAATAAACTGAACCCACTCTCTGCACAGCTGCTCATGCATTTCATTTGAAAGACATCACAGAATCAGAATCAGAAAACCTTTATTCGTCCCACAGAGGGGACGTTTACATTTGTTCCAGCAGCAAAGAGCTAGAGACAGCTTCATGTTAACTAAGAAGCATGCATACAAACTCATATTAAAGATAACACATTTTACAAATTGCACATCCTGTAGCAGTTCTGAAGAGAACACATCTTAAAGGTTTCAACAACATCTGATCACATTTCATAAAGACTACATGCACACAAAGCTTTGGCACAGCTTCTTCTTGGCTTTTTGTGACTTTGTCCTCAAAGACGTTGAGAGCGTCTCCAAGAGAACCCAGTGCTTTGATTACAGGGAGAACGTCTCCCCCCCAAACGCAGCATTATGGGATGCCTGCGGACCATTTTGAGATGGACACGGGTCAACAGGTAACCCTCTGGGACCTGGAAGAGAAACAGGGAAATACTTTGGTTATAAAACCAACAGTAGATTGTCGACGGGCTTCTTCAACTGATAGAGGAGAGTATTTGTTCTCACTGGATCAATACTATCTGATCTGCTCTCACCTCTCTGTACTGTACAGACAGTGGTGTGAAGGAACTAAGTATATATACTCATGTACTGTACTAAAGTACCATTTTGATGTACTTAGGTTATTGTACTGTATAGCAGAGGTTCTTCTGAATGCAGTCCCTCATCAGAACCACCTTTATTTCCAGGTCCGTTCACACACACAAGGAAGTAGATTTAGTGTCTGGTGGTGCGAACATGAACAACTTAAGAAAATAAGTTGCAATAGAACTATAAAAAACTATAATGAAAATAAGTATTTTTAAGAAACTATTTACCATTAAAAAAATCATTAGACAAGTATTTACACCAAATCTAAATGTAAATACACAAAGAACCTTAACCTCTTAAAGGGCCCATGTCATGCTTTTCCGGTTATTACCCGTCCCCTTGTGTGTTATGAAGGTTTTTATGCATGTAAACGGTGTGCAGAGTCAAAACCCTCAAAGTACACCCTGTAGCGAGTAAAACTCTAACACAGAAAATACCTCCCCAAAACGCCTCGTTGGAGATACGTCATTGTCCATTTGATAATTCCATTTCGTTCCGGGTACGGCATGATGTCATGCCGTACCTGGAACGAAATGGACCAATCCGTGGAGCCGTTACGTCCGCGGAGCCGTTACGTTAAGCCCCCGCTGATTGGTTCAAATTGACCAATCCACGGACTTCCTCACACACACACACTCTATGTGCAGGCAGCAGCTCAGCTGATTTCTCCTCCCTGGCTGCAGGCTGATAACAGACAGTTGGGATCGCAGCGAAATTCTCTCTGCAGACCCATTCTCTCTGCAGACCCATTCTCTCTGCAGACCCATTCTCTCTGCAGACCCATTCTCTCTGCAGACCCATTCTCACAGCGTTTATCAACCTTTTTCTTACTCAATATCAAGCCACACTTATTGTTTTTAATCCGGCTGTGAGTTTGTGTGTGCTCAGGATGAGTTTGGCTGTGTTTCGCTGTGTATCCTAAACAAGGAAACAACACCTCCATGGAGCTCAGCGTGATTCACAACGTCCCGACCAATCAGAGCACACTGTGCTCACAAGGAGGGTGGGGGCTGGAGCTATTGGAGCTACAACGAGCCGTTAAAGGCAGAGAGTGAAATTCAGTGAATACACGTAGTTTACAGAGATGCTGTTTGAGAAACCAATGTGAGTTTGGAGAGATGCTGTATGAGAAACCAATGTGAGTTTGGAGAGATGCACAATATAAATCTATTTTAGTAGACCTCAACAATGGAATTATGATCAGTGGAAATGGCCATGACATGGGCCCTTTAAGCCCTGAGCCTGTTTTTCAGGTCTCAGGCTCGAAAATGACATTCCCAGAACAAATGACCATATCTTCCCTTCTAAAAGGGTTAAATTAATAATCTTTATTCTCAAAGTAATGATAAACCTGTGAGTTGGATGTAGAAAAGTCAGAATCAATATAGATGTTTTTTATTTTAAAGAAAATTCTGATTTTACATGTAAACTATAAAACTGTAAATTATAGTGTCCGTCCAAAAATTCTTTTTTACTTATAGTGAAAACTACCCTTGGATGATGGGTTAGTAGACTAAAAGCTTTAGGCATCCAAAGTACAACATATAATAAGTACCCTGTATCAAGATTGATGCAAAACAAGTGACATTTGACCTTTTTAGAGAGATTTAGCCAAAAACCCCCATTTGGGTGGATTTGACCTATCTCTGGCCCCCCTTGATCGATTTTGATGAATGAAATCTCTTTATAACCGCTAGAGCCAATGGAATCGAGGGAAAGTTCTATACACACCAAAACGTTAACAAATAAGGAATGAGAGTGACGCGTTACCAAAACCGGAAGCTGCATACACTCTGGTGGCTACCATTAGCAGCTAACTTTTCCGCTCCGATTTTTACATAAAAAATGGAATTATGGATTATAAATAATTTCTTCAAAGGCACAGGTACATTATCAACCTATGGATGCCATTGAACACGTCTTTTGACCTAATTGACAGCTACGGTGAGACGATCTGCCGTAAAAGCTCCGTAAAGGTACGTGTTGTGATGTCTGTGTTTGCTTCCCCTGTCGCAAGTTCGGATCGCTCAGTGATGATACTACACCTAAATAATCAGTGGAGTCTCAGCTTTAATCGGCTATATTGTATGTGCAGCTACGATAAGTAATAAGGGTATCTTTATCTTGAATTGTGTGCCGCAGTGCGTTAGAATTTTTTCGCTCAGGGGTCATTTAGACGCTTCTTATGAGACTTGTGTTTTGTTTTGGTAAAAATGGTTCATATCTTCAGTTAGCTGAGATTCTTCCCGTTAATCTGGTGCTACACATTAATAGTTTCATAAATGTTAAGAAGCCCTGAGATATTATCTCGAAAAAAAACGGTGGGAGGGGTCCAATGGGGGGACCGTCGTGCTTAAGAGGTTAAAAGCTACAACACTTAGCAGAATGAAAATATGACAATATATGTAAAACTACAGAGAGTTGTATTTTAAAGTGGAGGGCTGTGCAGACGTGTGCAAACATGGCATGACATGAAAGAAGGATGGTTATATAAAGATATTATTAAAGTAGTATTTGGTCATGTTAGAGGATCAGCTGGATGAAGACCCAGGTGTGTGTTCAGGTGAGAAGAACACTGGAGCCTGGAGTTATGAAACAGAGTTAGTAAAGTTCAACTCCAGCTCAACGAACACAAACTACAATAACAGAACATCCAAAGACCAAAGCTAAATATTCTGATTACTGGGAACCTCTGAGTTCGTTGTCAATTTCCAATGGATTATTAACGAGTTAACATGTGACTGCAGTACCAGCCAATCACAGCAGAGCGTGAGACATTGATCACAGCAGATGAACTGATATATAATTACATATTTTTCTTCATTTAAAAACATGTATTTTCAGGTTTCTTCTCTTTGTGACAACACACCAAAGAGAATTCCTTCAATGTGAGAAATCTAATTGGCAATAAACTGGATCCTAAATCTGATGAAGCGTTTGCAGAGTTATGGTGACACATCTTTGTTCTTAAGAAAAGCTTTGAGTACAATTGATTGTTTTTGTTCATTTCATATTGAGGACAGCCAACAGGAAGTCTCAGCTGCAGCCTTCTTTCATATTTTCCAAAATGCCTCCACGCTCCTCCGTACGTCTCAAACTCGCCCCGTGATAAATAAACTGAGAACAAATCAAACCTGAGTTTGCAGATTTGTCTTGAATCCCAGAAAACACTGAGCAATAACTACATTTTATTCTGTAGTGAAACCTCAATAAATAAAGTTCACACGGTACGACCTCTCACCTTTCTGTGTGTCTTCACTTCCTGTCACCTGAGAGGAGAAGGAGAGAGAGAGAGAATAATGATGATAATACAACATGGAGAGAAAGAAGAGTGTTGTTTTCCTCTGAGGTCATGCTCCATTCAAGAGTTTACTATCTTGATGAATGGAGGATATGGTTTCAGTACTCACAGGTCTTCTGGATCGTGGCTCTGAACGGCTCGTCATCGATCCTGTAGAGATGAACACAATCCAACCGTTTTAGATCCAGTTCAAAATAAGTGTTTGTTCTTTGAGCTTCAGAGTCCTGATCTCATGCTTTACATCCCATCATATCTTCTCTGCAAACACTACGACTGCCTGCCACAGCTCTCAGCGGCATTACAGGGAGTAACCAGTCATTAGAAACTAAAAACATCCCATAAAAAACAGACTACCTTTTCCACTCTTCTGTAAAACCCCTGTGTCTGTTAGAGAGTTGATTTGCATGTTCAGCTGGCCTTCTATAGTTTGTGGAAGAATGAAAGAGCCTGCAGTCAGTGTGTCATGGTTTTGGATTGTTGTTTTCATTTTCCACCTTTTTTATTTTGAAATGTTTTCCTCCTTGTGTCTTGTCTGGTCCTACTTCCTGTGTTTGCCTTCCTGTCTTTAGTTTCCCTGGTGTGTCTGATTGTGTTCACCTGGTGCCCTTGTGTTTCTGCCTCCCCTGCCCAGCTGTGTCTTGTCCTGTGATTACCCTTCTGTGTATTCAGTCTTGTCTTCCCCTGTGCTCCATGTCTGTTCGTCGTCGTTTCTCCTCTATGATACCTGTTAGTCTCTTTGCTCTTGTCCATGCTACCTGTCACGCTCCATGTTTGCTCCTGAGGTTTTCTGTCCTGATCCTTCCTCGTACTCCCCCGGTTTTGGTATGTTAAGTTGCTCCTTGTTTTCTTTTGTCATTCAGCTTTGGGAAATAAAGCTTGCTTTTTGTTACCTGACCTTTTAGTCCTTTTACTGCATTTGGGTCCTATTTGTCCCCAACCCTGACACAGAGGGTAACATCACTGATCTGTTGTGATTCCCCAGTGAGAGAAACACCTCCCTGTGTTTAATACACCTCTGCCCCTTACTGACCTGAGAGTCTCCAGTCTGCAGTCTGGACTCTCCAGAAGATCTCTCAGCAGCTCCACTCCTGAATCCTGCAGATCGTTGTAACTCAGGTCCAGAACTCTCAGATGGATATTGGACTTCAGAGCTGAGGCCAGAACAGAACAGCTGATCGAAGACAAACTGCACCACCTCAGTCTGAATAAAGAAAACATGATGTAATTTTAGAAAACAAAGTTCCTGTTTGAAATAACTTCAGGTTTAATAATCTGTTCCGAGTTAAACAGGGTTTTAATGTCAGAGATGATGTAGAAACAATCCATTGATAATGTGGAACTTTAACTTTGATCAGATGTTTAACAACTCGTTCATCTCCCTCACAGCTCATCAGTACTGACAGCATCTCCACTGACTCATGGAGCACAGAGTGAGTCATGTTATATCTCATCTTAGCTCTAAGGTTGCCTTTTTGGTAGGTCAGGTACACAACTGGCAAAAAAGGGGTGGAGCACCAAGATTGGTCCATAACCAAAGGAGAATAACTTCAATACGCAATCACATACCATAGGCCAGGGGTCTCCAACACATGAGCCCTCAATAACTAGCTCGCCAAGCAAATCCAAAATGTAAAAAATACACACAAAAAAAAAGGAAATACAATTAAAAGAATCTACCCTATGCATAAACGAAACCTCAATCTACTTACTACAACTCTATATCTATCAAACACCCCTCCTCCCCCCACCGCCCACAATGAATATCGACCAATCACGTTCTTGCTTGATTTGCGGGACCAGCGTTGCAGTTGGGAAGAAAAGCAATGTGGAGCGGCAGCTCACCACTTCATAAGGAGTTTGACCGTGATTTTCCTTCTGGCAGAATCTACACAACACATCAGCCCCATTGAACACATCCTATTCATGCCAGCCTATACAGCACATGAGGGGCAGAGTTTTACTCTGTGTGTGTTGCAACTTGCATATATATTTATTGCACTTGACGCACACATACGCATGGCGTAATGGCATGACATGTCCCCCCCCACTTTTCGAAATCCCGTTTGTTTCCCCCCCACTTTACAAATATGTTTATGATTTTTTTTTGCGCAAGCCGTCATCGCCACGGAGGAACACACAGCCTCTGTGAGTGAGCGAGACAGAGAGACAGAGAGAGAGAGCAAGAGAGAGAGAGAGAGAGAGAGAGAGCGAGAGAGAGAGAGAGAGAGAGAGAGGGGGGAGAGAGAGAGAGAGCTAAAGAGAGCGAGAGAGGAGAGAGCGAGAGAGAGAGAGAGAGAGAGAGAGAGCTAAAGAGAGCGAGCTAAAGAGAGTGCGCTAGAGAGAGAGAGCACACCAGTTACGGGGATTGTTGTTGTTAGCATCTGGTGCTAGCTCAGAGCTAACGGATATTAGGAGCTGTTTTTAGAACAAGGAGAGGGAGAGCTCTCTCCTGTCAGACTGAGAGGCTGATAACTACAGCATGATGATGTAAGGGACTCTCTGAGTGTTTGGATAGTTCACTTTAGTCTCTCTGAGTCTAATCTCAGTGGTTCTCAAATTCTTTGGTCTATGTAAACAAATATTTCCGATGCACACCTTTATCTATTTAATATAGTTGCAAAAAATAAAGTAAGAAATCATTCCAACAGTGGCGAGCCGTCAGGGCCTAAGATATTCAAAACATTTTTTTTTAAAAACATTAAAAAAAATTAAAAAAAATATTTTTTTTTAATATTATTTTTGTTATATTTTTCATTAGTTTTACCGAAAAAAAACTTGATTTAATAAAATAACATTTCCAAATAAATAAATCCTTTGAATCTGCCTGTTCAGTCTCTGTTTGAATGTGGGTTACATGAAAGAAGCTCATCTGGCCCTCTCTGCGATTCACAGAGGGCCCGCTATAGTAACTGAACGAGAGAGTAATGTCAAATGACAGTACAATTGACCAATCATATCTTCCCTCTAAATGGGTGGGTTTTATTATCGCGGACTAGATGACAAGTTCCGCCCGCTGTGAAACTTTTCTTGTTTCCATAGCAACAACAACTTCCTGTCAACAGCGTGAACTCGCCTTCAAAATAAAAGCATGCCAAATTACACTTAAGACATACAACTGCAACGAAAGTAACAAACACAATGCAATATCATTTTCAATGTCAAAGAACACAAATTGGGTTCACAGGTGTTGTTTTGTGTGGTAGAGGGTCGCTGTCTTTGATGCGTTTTGCACCCTGGGCCGTTGTTTTGATATTCCGCTGAAGTATACGCTGTGACGTAATAACTATTTTTTTTTCTTTTTTTCGAGGGAAGGGGTGGTGGTCAGAGGGCCTAGGTATAAAGCTCACGGCTCGCCACTGCATTCCAATGTGTACTGTAGTACAGTAACAATAAAAATACAGTTTAAAAGGGGAGTGATTAGTAAAATATGCATGAATAAAAAGAAAGAATGCTAACTAGGTAACATAAGACAAGATGAGAGAGAGGAGTTTATAAAATGAACAAGTTTAACCTGTTGAACCCCATCCCCCCGGTACCGGGGGGGGAAAACACATCATCTGCAGGAAACAGCGTCTGAGGGCTTCTTAATATTTAATAAACTATGAATGTTTTATATCCATGTAACGGGAAGAAACTCAGCTTTTTTTGCAAAAAAACCCACAAAGCTAACGCTGAGCCTCTGAATTAGCCACGAGCGAAAATATGCTAACAGTGTTTGCACAGAAAACACGGTATAACACCCTTATTACTTATCGTAACATCCAACCCATCGACTAGCATCGTGAGAATACACAGAATCGATAGGTATCTATATCATCACTCCATGATAAAAACTCGCGACTTTATAAACAAAAACAGACATCACAACACGTGGCGCTAGGTAGCCAAAACGACAATATGTCTTACCTTTGTCGTTGTCTGATCAAAAGCTGTCTTCAATGGCATTAAAACGATAAAAACGCTGCTGAAGGTTAATCCATAGGTTAATCCAATGTGTCTGTGTCACTTTGAAATGATTTCTGATAATCCATAAGCAATAAACCTGCTTTTCCGTTTTCAGATTTCAGAGCGTGAGATCAAAACTGCATGCGCAAAGCCCCCACTTTTTTTGGTAACGTTGGTGTGTATGTGGAAATTCCCCTTTGATTCTATTGGCTCTAACGGTTAAAAAGAGATGTCAATCACTAAAATCGACTAATGGGTTCCAGAGAAACGGCAAAAACGCCCATTTCCACCCAAATGACCCCAGAGGTGGAGTTTTTGGCTAAACCTCTCTAAAAAGGTCAAATGTCCCTTGTCTTGCATCAATCTTGATACAGGGTACTTATTATATGTTGTACTTTGGATTTCTAAAGCTTTTAGTCTACCATCCCATCATTCAAGGGTAGTTTTCACTATAAGTAACAAATATGTTTTGGACGGACACTATAATTTACAGTTTTTTACTATGTAAAATCTGAATTTTCTTTAAAATAAAAAACATCTATATTGATTCTGACTTTTCTACATCCAACTCACAGGTTTATCATTACTTTGAGAAAAAAGATTATTAAAGGTGGGGTAGGTAATTTTGGAGAAACCAGCTCGAGTGCGTAGAATTTGAAAATACACAACCGGAGAAAATCTGCCACTTCCTTACAGAGCCCCTCCTCCAACACACACGAACGTGCACATGACCAATGAGGGCACGAGATAAGTGCGGTTTTTTTTGCAAAAAAAAAAAAAACCCATCTATTTGCTAAGTCAAGCGACCCAGCTGCTCATGGTAGCATAATGATATACAGATGTGATCATATACCAGTAATTAGTCTACAAACTAAAAACATCACATAAAACATTAAAATAAAAAACGGTCTACCGTGGACTTTCCTCTTTTCTGTAAAATCCCATATGTCTGTTGATTACTAAAGTGTGGCTTTGCATTTTCAGCTGGCCTTCTATAGTTGATGGAAGAATGAAAGAGCTTGCAGTCAGTGGGTAACATCACTGATCTGTTGTGATTCCCCAGTGAGAGAAACACCTCCCTGTGTTTCATACAATACTGCTGAACCAGCAGAGACCCCTTACCAGAGGTTGCGCTAGACTTTTTCGCTGGGTTAGGGTTAGGGTAACCTAAGGGTAACGCTAACCCTAACCCTAATTTTGACGGACAGGATCGCAACATTTTCGTC